TTTCATGGAAGCAATGCTGCTTTATACTAACAACTGCACAGCTGCATACTTGATTAAGCAACCAGAGGATGTCAAGAAACAACTTATTGCTAGTGCAATATCACAGGCTAGGTCATTTCTTGAAAAACATAAGCAACGGAAAAAGAAGCTGAATGAATTACGGGTACAAGCTATTCAAGACAAGAAAAAACACAAGGAAAATCTTCAGGTCACACGAATCAAACGAAAACAGTCAGCAATGGATGCCATTCAAGATGACGGACAATGTAAAACTAAGGCAGATGTTGATCAATTGCTAAAGAAGTATGATGGGCATTATTCATCACAAGTTGATGCTTTGTGTAACCAGCTCCAGTTCTACAAGTTTAATGTCAGTGTACCCAATGTCACATACAAACATTACTGTAGATCTAAAGATGGAAAAGACAGGCCATTGGATGACATCACTGAAAGTTTGCTATTTGTTTTGGAACAATGGAGTCAAATAATGAATACCGGAAGCCTATCAGAATTGAGGGATGCTCCAGGCAATAACATACATGCAAAAGATGGAGATGTTAGTAGGCTCCGTGAAAGATTGATTGCTGAGGCTGATGACATCAAGAAGAGGAAACACACTGGTAGTGAAGATATGCTGCAACCCAAAAAAAGGAAGAACATTGTTAAAAAGACAATACCCTTTCCTGTAGACATTGTAGGCAAACGAATTAGACAACGGTTTGAAATAACAACTAAATCTGGGAAAAAAGAGCGACGTTGGTATAAAGGGACTGTTGTCAGAGTTGCAACCGAACTGGAAATGTTGGATATTAGTGATCATGATTTTGACTTGGCAGAGCAAGGCAATACCATTTATATGGTGGAGTACGACGGCTACGATGAGTTAGACCCCTATGCTCTAAAGGTTGACTGGGAAAATCATGATTTGGAACTAATTTAAGCGATACAGGTTAGCCCCAAAAATACATATAGGGTCAAAGATTATCATAACTACAGAGAGCACACCAAATTTGATCTCATGTACACACACGGATGTCTCGTACACGTACACCCAGACATTTGTGCATACTAACAAGCTAATTTGAATATAAAAAAGCATAATCTGTTTATTAATTAGCATAAAGAAGGTGATTACCCACTTTAACTTATGTCACCATAATAACCATTTTAAAACACCTATGAGTACCAAATTGCACAAAAATACGTAATGCCATTCTGACATTATGCAGTTTTTGCATATTAATTAGCTAATTTGCATATGACAAATGTAATCTGCCAATTAGTAGCATAAGCAAAGGTGAAGGCCCAATTTAATTAATGCCATCTTAATAAGCATCTTAAAACACCACTGTGTACCAATTTGCAAGGAAATACATTATGTAGTATTACTGTTACACAGTTTTTGCATATTAAGTAGCTTCGAAATCCTCAAAACGCATGAATATAGAGACTTATCTCATTTTTTGGTGATTCATAACAATTATGATGAATATTGCATACATACCAGATGTGAAAAGAGGAAAATAGAGACACACCTCTACCCAAAGCCTGCAGAACAATTAGCATGCACCATGTTAACCCAGAATTATTTTACCTTCAAAAACACAATTTTGGGGTAAATTCCTTGTTTTTGAATGACTAAAGCAGGTTTGATGGCATAAATTGTAATTTTCAAGACCCTCTATTTTACATTATGTGTATTTTGGTACTTTTTTTTTTGTTTTTTTGGTAATATATGGGATGTTTGCTCAAGGGAATGGCTGCTTTAAGTTTGTTAAATTGTATTAATATGAAATTATAGCCTTGAAAAAACAGTATTTTGACACTTTTGGTCAAAACAACGAGTTTTGGTATAGTAAAACAACGTTTTCCGGAGATTTTAAATCACCATATCTCGAAATCTGTATGCCCCAGAGATACAAGGTAAACAGTTTTGGAATCGCCTTGGAGAGATCTTTTAAATGGTATCACTTTTAGCTATACATTATGAATTTGTAATTTCTGTTGACCGGCCTAGTAATATATTGGGTATTAATAGAATTTAGGGCAAAACAAGAAACACTCCACATGCCTAACCGACATGCAAGGGATTTATTAGGAGGTTCCACAAAATCCTATATACAGCCACCATGACTGAACTTAAGAAGCGTCGACAGGATTTGGACTTTCGACTGTAAGTTTCGCATCTTGCCCAAGACCTCGAGTGAGCCAGCTACTCTGAGTCACAAATGAGGGCCAAGGGCAGTAAAGGTGGCCTGTCCTACCCCAGCGATTGTAGTACTTGCGACTCCAGAGCCACACACAAATAACATCAAAGCAGTGCCAGAACACCAACCATCTCTGTTCCTGAATGAAGACATCTTCCGCGAGGGAGGTTTTTGGTCTCTGTATTATCTGCATTCATGAGATGTTTTAGCACCCCATCCCTCCATGCGCACCTGCACCTGAAGGTTTAGCAGGCACTAGTTTTCGCCATCAGCTGCAGGTGGGGAGGGCTGTGCAGTGACTTCCCAGGTCCGCTAAAGTAGCATTGAAGACCGTCTTGGGAGGGGATTTTACCGAATCAAACAGAATGCCAACAAGTTCTATAGAACTCGATCCCTCAAGCAAGCAAGTCCAATGAGCCCGCGTGTACAAGATTACATACATACATACATACATATAGGCATTTTTATAGCGCCCCACAAAGATCGGAGCGCTTTACAAAAGCTGACAAAATAATTAAAGATACAAACAAAATATGCATTGATACAGATACAAAAAAAAAAATACTATACAAGCAAAATAACTCAAGAAGTGAAGGCCAACCCAATTTTGGTCACCGAATAATCTTTTGACATGTTGTGTTTGTTTGTAGGTTATAAGTTAAATTACCAAGTTATGTGTCTTAAAGTTGAGGAATTTTGGTTTCTTTAATGATTTATCCGTGGTCTAAAAAAGGCAACAAACACCTACATTAGCGTGATCAAATGTTCAAATATGCTGTTCATAGTACTCAGACATCTCCTCTGAATGCTCGTCTATTGATATGAACTCATTTAAATAGGAAGTAGAACATAAACATGGCCCGCATTCTTCTCAGTGTTGTGCATCGTTGAGTACGACATTCAACAGCCGCCGTGTCAGTAATACATAGGCTCTGCGTGCACAATCCATTTCCAACCCGACAGCTGTTGCATGTCCGAATCACTGCTAATGTGACGTCACTTATCTGCTCCTGGTATCCAGGTCCACCGCCAGGTTACCATAAGACTATTCAATTTCAGTTCCCCAAGGTGTAACCTTTCCAAAAATACCAACTAAACACTTGGTCATTTCCAAAAAATAAATGACCCCTGGCTCTTGGACTATCCACGATCACATCCCTGATCGACATGAGCAACCACTACAATGTACTCTGGCTACCCACAAATCTCACACCATAAATGCCAAATGTTCATGAGAAGTGTGTTTTTTTCGCTCTCTTCCAGACACAAATATTCGCAACTTCGGACAATGAATAACCAAACTAAATTCGAGGAGTGCTTCAAGAAGACGAGGCTGACCAGAAGTCAACTACATTCTACAACACACTGCACAAAGCCACACCATCATGCTTCACAACAAAGAGCAACCGTGGACGACTCATACCAGTTGCGGTTCTACGGGGGGTCTTACCACCCCCCCCCCCCCCCCCGGATAAAAATAGACAAAAATTAAAAAATGGAAGTAACTAAATGTTAGGTGATGTCGCATGCGAACTGTCCCCCCCCCCCCCCCCAATTTAAAAAAAAAAATAGTTGCAAGAGGGAGCATTTGTACACTATTCGGTAATATAGTGTGCATGATTGCAGGATTTTATCAGTGCTCCCAACTGAAAATACTGTACGAGCGCCCCACCCCCATTGACTTTCGGTGGCCTAAGTGTCTGGAGAAAAAAAACCTGGTCATTTCAGCCCACCTCCCTGCAAAATCCACCCCCTGCTAGCCACCCTAAAATATAGGCTCTAGAACCGCGACTGAATCATACGTAAACAACAGGTGGCCTTCCACCACAAAAAACAATTATTGTGGAAGTTGCTCAGAAACAAGGGGAAAAAAGCCATAATAACTGAACAAAATAACTACTATCATGGTATCTATCTATCATGGTATCTATCACTACTATCATGCGACATAGTATACAGTGTTTAAATGTCGGTGAAGGGCAAAACCCAATTTGATTTACATCACCCCAATGCAAATTCCATCTTATAATAGTTTATGCGGTACCCGCTGCTATGTACATCAGATTCGAACCAGCCAACCGATCCCGTTAGCTCGGTGGTCGAGTGGTAAGACATCTGCACTAGAAAGCAGGAGGACATGGGTTCGAGTCCCACCCGAGTGTTTTTTTTTCAAACTTTCACTCGGGAGGTAATACACTGAGTATACAGTGTTTATACGTCGGTCCAAGGGCAAAACCCAATTTGATTTATCATGGTCGCGTTGAACATAAAATCCAACCCCAAAACATGGTAATCATACACGAAACTCAATAATTGATGTCCTTGGCATCAACCAATCAAATTGATAGCTGATGCCCATGGGCATCGCCAGGATTTTTTCTAGAGGGGAAAAGCACATCCCTCCCCAGCATATTATCGATTTATCATTTTTTGAGGGTGGGCAGGGACATTGCCTCCACCTCCCCAACCCATTTAATTAACAGTAATAGGACTTTGCGCATCTTTTTATTTCCTTTTTATCCTCCTTTTTCCCCCTACTTTTCGGTGTGTGGGGGGGGGGGGGGGGGAAGCGCCCCTTCCTTGCCTACCCCCTCCCGACACCCATGCTGATCCCATCAACAACCAATTCCTATCAGTTACAGCAGACATCCCCCGGCTCGACTGTGCACCATCTATTTGCCTACTCTGTCACTTTGCCCTCAATTTTCCCCTGGAAAATCTACAAGGAACTTCGAAAGGTCAATGTCCACAATGCTGTTGGCCCAAATAGTACGTGCCAACCGCAAGGCGTAGATGGTATCTGATCTATTCACTGAGTGGGTTCGCCGTCTAGACAAGAAGTACACCAGGCAGAAACGGAAAGTTCTTCTTTTCGTAGACAGCTGCGCAGCCCATCCGAAAGTCCCCCACCTAAACTCCATCACCCTTCAGTTCCTGCCACCGAACACGACATCACAGCTTCAGCCTATGGACCAAGGTGTGATAATGAACATGAAGGTTCATTACCGTCGCAAGCTGCTACAGAGTCTTCTCAATGCCTACGACGCCGGGGAAACACCTCAGCCCATCAACGTCTTGCTGGCCATCAATATGGTTCACACAGATTGTATCGCCAACTGCTTCCGTAAAGCAGGCTTCGAGCCAGTACGAGCACCACAACCACGATTCCTAGATAATATCTGGGAACGTCTGGCTCTCTACATGAACCTACCCAACACTTTCCAAGAGTATGCAACTGTGGATACAGATCTTCAGGTGACAGACGAGCCAAGTGATGAGGAGATTGCAGCGGAGATAACAGCGGAGAGAGCAGGCGATGGTCCAGATGACGACGAGGAGGAGGAGACGGCGGAAGCAGAGGAGGCCCAGAAAGAACAACTAACTGTCCGGCAGTGCATCAACATGATGACTCAAGTGCAACACTTCCTTTGCACTCGGGCCAACATGACAGATGAGGTCTACCACAACGCAGCTGGCATCATGGACTACCTGTCAGAGGAGCAGCTTGGGACGAGCATCCAGGGGAGAATCACCGACTTTTTCCAGAAGTAAACAATGCAGCAGCAAAGTTATTAACAAAAAATAAAGTTTAAAACATACCGTGGTCCCCGCCCCCAAAAAAGGTTATTCCGGAGAATTAAAAAATCAAAATCTTTAAATAAATAAAGAACCCCTCCCCGCCGAAAAAAAATCCCAATGAAAACAGGTTTCCAAGAACTTCAAAAGCCCCACCACATATACATTGTACAAATGTTAATCCCAAATTATTACTTTTGTTTATGTATTATTATTAACTTAAAAGAATCCCTCCAGAGAAACAATAATCACCAATTGCTGTAAAAAGTCAAAGTTCAATTACACATGGAGACACTTAAACCCGGAAATAATATTAGCGCCCTCTCTTGCCCGATTCCAGCAAATGCAAAACAAAAGCAAAATGTCACTTGGCACGAATTTGCGCTATAGTTAACCAAAATAATTACAATTTCAAAGAATCCCTTCAGAAACAATAATACCCAATTGCTCCAAAAAGTCAACAACAAAAAGTAAGAGTCGACTGTATTCCCCCTGTGCTTGATTCACGAGTTCCTTTTGTGAACTGATTATTCCAATATGTGACATCATCAATCAATCATTTGACAAAGGCAGCCTCCTATCACAGTGGAAACAAAGCCGTAGTCATCCCAGTTCCCAAGACTAATCAACCTACCATCAATAAACTCAGACCAATTTCACTCACTGACTACTTGGCTAAAGTTGCAGAAAACTTTGTTATCAAATGCATCCTACCAGCATGACCCTCAACGGTTTGGGAACAAAAAGGGTGTTTCAGCTACTCACTACCTGACTAATGTAATGGACACTTTGGCTCGTAATGCTGACACTATTTACACTTGTGGCGACAGACTACAGCAATGCGTTTGACAGAGTAGATCATACAATTCTTATCACCAAGCTGTTGAACTTATTTTGGTTTTCTTTGGTTTCCGGAGATGGATTAGATATCGAACTCCTCTTACAGTGGGAACGAGATGTTGCATCTTTTAAGGACATCACTTACCCTGGACCAGGAACTCTGCACCGGGAGAATCTTGGACAACACAGAGTCTTGGACAACACTGGGATGATGAAGACTACATCATATTGGCCAATTTAAAGAGGGAGCTTGATCTTGGGTGCTTTCTCAATTTATAAAATAAATCTTTAAATGCCTGTTCTCAAGTCACCTTGACCATCTTTTTGGTTTGTAGTTTAGCCATTGTACCAGTAGATTACATGCCTATAATTCAATCAGATGAAATTACATTATATTCTTAAAACTAGTTGGGCTTAATGCAAATGCACATCACAATCAAGGCATGGTTGGGGGTACTAAACGGAGAGCTGGATAGTGTTTAATCAAAATTTCGGGCACAAATCCTCTGATTGTCTTAAAGCCTAGTATCATCGACCCTGATCACAGAATACCCCAAATCTGAAGGGATTTGGTAGTCCACGAGGGGCCGATACTTACCTGCTAATTCCTACATATGCATTATTCCTTATAGGCCGCAGGCCATACCCGCGAGATTTTATGTCTACCACAGCGCCCTCTGGGCCACTACCCGATACCCATCAAGCGGCATATCGTCCTCTTTTCTGAAAGCGTAAAAACAAGAAATCCCACGCCCAACGTGGGGTAGGAGGGAGGGAGAATTAGCAGCTAAGTATCGGCCCCTCGTGGACTACCAAATCCCTTCAGATTTGAGGTAGTCCACTTCGGGCCCTCTCTTACATGCTAATTCCTACATATGCATAGATTAGCACTGAAAGGAGGAGGGTATAGGCGAGATTTTCATAGGAACCTCAAAATAGCAGTGAAAAAACACCGAAAGTATCAGCCCATCGTGCACACCATTAGAAACCTGTACATGTAAACTGATATGCGAATACGATGTAAGTGACATGGTAACTCACCGAAAAAGAAGGGGGTTACTGTCTGATAGGGATCGTCCCATCACTCCGGCATCTCCCTTGGCCAGTCGGGTCTACCCAATCATCATGGTCTTTCTCGTAAGTCGAGGGCATCGAAGTTGTGATGACCACACGGCCCATCTGCCCCTCAGTCTGCAAGACATCTTTGAGGTAGCATGAGACAAACGTGGAAGCTGTCTTCCAGGCCGCTGCTTGCAATATCTCGTGCATGGGAACCCCTTTGAGAAAGGCCCAAGACGTTGCAGTAGCCTGAGTTTCATGGGCATGTACTGGCCCCGTTGATTTAGTTGGCCAGTCTGAGATAGACGTTTGAATGGCCCTAACCACCCAACGAGAAATAGTATCCCGGGTGGCTGATCAGTGAGGTGATGTAGTTGTAATAAACAGCTGGCAAATGGAACCTCGGAGAGTTTTAGTGCGAGCAAGGTACCATTTAAGCGCCCGAAAAGGGCACCAAAACTTGTCTTCCACAACTGCCGAGACAGTCTTTATCTGCGGAACGAAGATGTCGGGGGGGGGGGGGGAGAAACGAGGCTGACTGGTTTTTGGTCAGGAAACCTTGGCTAGGTATCAGTCAGACACCATGTGGCTCCCATCTGATGTGTCCATCAGCAATTGTAAGAGCATGGAGCTCACTTCGCCTTCTGGCTGTGGCCGCAGCTAGAAGAAAAACCGTCTTCACAGTCAGGTTCATCAGGGAAGCCCCGGAAAGTGGCTCAAATGGAGGCTTGGCTAACACTTGCAGGACCTTACCCAGATCCCAAGAGGGCACCAGACGGCGTTGCGGGGGCCGCTCGATAAACACATACCCTTGAGAAGTTGAGATAGTGCATTACTAGTCGAAACAGTTGAACCATCCAGAAATCGCTTGTGGATGGCAGCAATCGCCGAGCAATAACCCCTAATAGTTGCCACGGACAGATCTTGCGATAAGAGCGCCATTAGAAAGTCCCCAAGGGTGGTTAAAGGTGCAGAGCAGGGATCAACAGCTTCCCTTCTGCACCATCTAAGATAATGTTGTACTCTGCCATTGTACGTTCGACGTGTGGACTCCCTTCGGCCCTTGGCTGCCAGGGTTGCAGCGTTTGCCGAAAGGCCTGCTGGTCGGAGGGAAGATTCGACAAAGGCCAGCAGGTTAGGTGGAGTTTCTCTGGGTCTGGGTGAAGAAATCCCAACCCGGGTTGACTCAGGAGGTCGGTCCGCTGTGGCAACAGGATTGGAGGGTGTATCAGTAGGCAGGTGAGCCTTTGAAACCATGGTTGTCTTGGCCAAAAGGGGGCGATCAGTAAAAGCTTGCACTGTTCCATCTCCACTTTTGCTATCACCCGTGGTAAGAGGGAGATTGGGGGGAACGCGTAAGCAAACTTGTTTCCCCAACTCAGTGAAAGAGCATCCATTGCCCAAGCTTGTGGGTCGGGAACCCAGCTGCAATACACTGGGAGTTGATTGTTCCGGGCTGAGGCGAATAGGTCTATGTGGGGCCTGGCGAGTGTTAAGAAGGGTGGGTTGCTCCAGCACATGATATGATGGCGGACCAGGGGGAGCACTGGCACGAGCTTGGACAGTAAGTCGTGTTTTGGCCTGTAGTGGTCAAGAAGATGCAGCTGTATTGGCTGCATGTACAACTGGCAGTAAGGGATTAGATCTACCGTACTGGCCATCAGGCCCAAGAGGCGGAGCCAAGCCACTGCTGGTGCTGTGTCGGCTGACATCAGCAGAACGGCACATTCCACCAGATTCCCCAGTCGTTCCCGAGTGGGACAGGCTATGCCGCAGGATAGTTCCAGATCCGCCCCCAGAAAGGTTGGGTGAGTTGATGGTATGGGATGTGACTTTTCGTTGTTGATGAAAAATCTCAGACTTCCTGCAATTTCCATTGTGGTGGTGACTGCTTGACATGCCTGACGTTCGGACATGCCCACAATCAACCAGTCGTCCAGATAAACGAAGATCAGAATGCTTCTTTGTCTAAGGATGGCTGCCACAACCTTCGCTAACCGCGTGAAAATCCTTGGTGCGGTTGCGAGCCCGAATGGAAGAACGATGAATTCGTAGGTTACTCCCGCATACAGGAATTGGAGGAATTTGAATGCAAGTCCCGAATGGGTACGTGGAGGTAGGCGTCCTTTAATAGATCTAAAGTCGCAGCCCATGACTGAATGGGTAGGGAATCCAACACCGTGCGAAGTGTTTCCATCCGGAATCTTTTTGGTCGGATGAACCTGTTGAGCGGACGAAGATTCAGGATGGGACGCCACTCTCCGGGGTTCTTCTTTGGAGTTAGAAAGAACGTGGAGAAGAACCCTACGTTGACCTCTTCCTGAGGAACTATTTGTATTGCGCGTTTCTGGAGGAGCAATACAATTTCGGACTCTAATGCCCGACGCTTGGTTGGATTGGAGGGCACTGGAGTGGGGCGACAGATTGTGCCCGACGGAGGGGTGCTTGTGAATTCCAGGGCATATCCAAGAGATACGGAATTTAGCACCCACCTGTCGGAACAAAAACGGGCCCAAGTCTCTGCGAAAAACTTTAGACGGCCCCCGACGGGCCCGAGATCGGGGGCCGACTATGCTGGACATATTGGGCTGGCCAGCTTTCGACCTTTTCTTCCGGGCTCCGGGCCCGCCGATGGGCTGGCTCGGTGCACTCGGAATATCGGTTGGGGCTTTATCGGCACCGGTATCCGTGGACAGAGGCCGAACAGGCATGTCGCCGAGCACCGAGTTATCGGCCGAGGCTCCCTCGGCCCCAGGACTGGAGGACAGCGGCCGAGTCGGCATGTCTCCGGACCCCTAATTGCCGGCCGAATATTTCTCAGAACTAAGCCACGAGGACAGAGGCCTAGCAGGCATGTCTTTTGGGGCCGATTTGGCAGATTTACTTGCTCGTTTAGTCTTAGTAGTAGCTGGAGGCGTACCAGGCACAGCTCTACCTCTACTCTTGGCGTCAGTGCTGGACAGCGGCCTATCATGCATGTCAGCAGAGCCTAGTAGGGAAGACTTTTGTCGGCCAAAGGGCTCCGAAGAACCGCTCCGTACCGAATCACCAGCCATGCTGAGACTCCATTCCAATCA